TATTAGTATGACATCTATAAAAATTGTTTTCATTGGTTAAATTAAATTCTATCGTTCTATGTCTTTTTGTAATTTCATATGTTTAACTTTTATTTTTGAAATATACAAAGAATTATTAATGTCATCATCATTAGATTCATTTGATCAATTTACAACAAATTTTCAAAAAACATTTTCTCATCAACCATGTTTAGTTATTGATGTAGTACAATCAAATTTACCACCATCACCATGGTCTGGAAATGATAATCGTAATGCACAAATTTGTTGTCAACCATTTTTTGATGCAAATACAAATGGTGGTCGTTATGAAATAGCTTTTTATGATAATGGTTATGCTTATTATGAAGCATTAGATGGTGAAGCATTTCAAGCACGTCTTGGACGTCTTAATCCACAAATGGAATTTCGTGATTTAAACAAAGTTTTAGAAAAAATAAAACAAATATTTGAACAATCTGTTTCAAATAAAGCAGATAATCAAATTACTGTACAATTAATTAATGATGATGTATTAGTTGTAGAAATTAAAGGTAGATGAAACTCATATATAAATATATGAAAAAAGATATCTATTCGAATACTTAGCAAATCTTATGATGAGTAATTGAATGAAATTCTTTATTATATTTTCTCTTATATAAACTTCTGAGACTTTGTTTTTTAAGTATTAAATTTTGTTTTTCTAACATTTTAAGAGAAATTCTATTTGATGAGTTTGCAATTTTTCGCAAAATATACTTCATAGAAAAATGAAACAAACATTTCAATATATAAAATGTCTATCTTATGATTTTGAATAGGAAAAAATATTTTGTATAATATTTTTAATAAAGGCTTTTTTGTTAATTTTACAATAAAATTATCTTTGAAACTTGTTTTCTTTTCGAAATTATATACAATGGACATGTTTGTTTTGTTATGAAATAACAACTATTTTTCCATTAAATGTCTAATCAATTTTCTGTCAAGTCAAAGGACATATTTCTTTTGCTGGTATTTATCTTGTACAGCAAGTAATTTTGCGTTCTACTGTAATGCTTTAGAGATAGAAGATAAATCTTAATAAAATCTATTTTCTTTTCTTCTTCTTCAAGGTCGTATTAAATCTTCAATACTTTTTAAATATATGTTTAAATGTCAACGACGTGAAGGTGAATTTTATGAAGCAAATTATGTTCGTCAAATAGTTTATTGTCTTGCTGAACGTAAAAGTCGTGAACTTGAATTAATTAAAATAATTCAAGCTAAAGATAAAGAACTTGATGATTATCGTTCTCAAGGTACATGTCAATTACAACGTTCATGGCTTGCAACACAACCATTTGATAAAGATGAATTTGATAAATCAACATCACGACAAGTTCAACAACGACATGATGATGTTTTAATGCATACACTTGATTTAGCATTTGATCGTGAAGGACAACAATTAATTGAAGAATGTTTATTAAGAAATGAATATCGAAAACGATTACGTTCATCACAAGATAGTCATAGTTCATCAACAACAAAAACATCGAAAAAGAATATTTCATCACAAAAACGAACACCAAGTAAACAACAATCAGGTTCAAGTCAACAATTAAATGATGATATAACTGCTGCTGAACGTCGTCGACATGAAGAACTTGAAAGAAAACTTCAATTAGATAAAGAACGTGATGAACAAATAGCTAAAAAGAAAAAGAAAAAATTCGTTTAATTACATTTTATCAATCAAATATTTACTTTATATATAATTTTTTGTTTATATATATATATAATACAATTGTATTATTATTATAATAAATATTTTCAAAATAATTAATTCGATGGATATTAAAGAATTTTTCATAAATAACGACAATGGAATAAAAGATAACATACTAAAAATTATTAAACATAGAAGAAGACAACGAAAAATATATTTGTTTAGTTGCAACAGCGCTTATATTCTGTTTACGTGGTCATAGATAATTGTTATATCTAGACTTTCTCTTCTGAAAAAGCAAACATCTCTTGTTAGGAGTACACACACGCATAACACAAGAGCCGCAAACTTCATGAGAACAAACCCAATCTTCATCTTGCTTGTCTTTTCACATTGATCGTAGTCAGTGCTCACTGCATGCAAATTGGAGCCGCTAAATCTGATCTTGCAATACTTGTGATTTACTTGTTTGTAGTGATGAAGTCACTGTTGATTGATCTAATAGGGACAAACTATCTTTAGACGTTTTCATTGTCAAACCTTCTTGAGCTACTAGGTAGGTGTCCAGTGTGTTGAGAAAAACTAAAACTTTGTATACATGTGCGTTGGATATGAATCTCACATAAATAAAATATAAATCGATTGATTTCATTCATTACTATAATTTCAATAAAGTGGTTAACATGTTGAAAGACTTCAACTCTTGTGAAATATACTATGGCTCTATGTAGCAGAAAAAAAGATTATCTATCTTGAGACTTAATCCATAACACTATAACAAAATGTAAAAACAGAAAGAAACTTATTATTTTTAGTTTACTTTTTAATTTGAAAGGAAAAATCAATGGGAATTTTCAGTCATTATACGACTATCATCAACCAATATACCCCAATATTTGATGGTAAGCCTCTGGTATGGCTGTGACTATGACTCTGAATGTGTGCATGTGATGTAGGTGGAGTGTGGTGGTCGAGATATGGGTATAACTGCTGTAAGTGATTGGAAGAGAGTGTATGTATCGGTGAGTGGACGTGGCTGTAGGCATGGGTTTGTGTCTAGGTATAACTATGAGTGTTTTTTCGTGACACATCTACACCCCATTTCGCTACCATTTGATGGTGATTGTTCATGGATTCTAGACAACAAAGTTAAAAATATAGGGTGTGGGTGTCAGTAGGTGCGGGCCTTCCATTCATTCAGACCAACACACAGCCCATATCCACACCCACTTTTTCTAGTCACTTGAAAATAATTATTTAGACTTAAAACTAGTGAGATAGAATCAGAAGTTTATGTTCTTTTCGAATATATGCTGTGATTTCTTCTGATGCAATCTTTATAAACTAAGAGCAAATTGTTTTAGATGATGCAAAATAATATCGATACAAGATTTTATTTTGTCTAATTTTGTAGTTCGACTAAGACCTAACGAATGCAAAAAAAAGAAGGGAATAATTTTTAATAAATCATTGTTGTAGAGGAAACTTTGCTCTACAAACTGTGTTATGCGCTCTTTCGCTTTATCTTGTACTAAAGACTGAAAGTATTTTGTCCTTAAAAAGGCAGTTTTCAAAATCATTTTTTTCGCATACATTACTTGACATGGAAAAAAGATTTTCCTGAGAAAAGACATAAATTTTGAATGGCTTGAGATTTTGCTTGTTTGACAGACATGAATGCTGTACAAAATTTTGTCCGTTTAGAACTGTTTCAAAATACAAATTACAAAAACTAAAAATCGTGTTAAACTTGCTATTTACCTTTGTACGGGTGCAGATTTCGAGAAAGATGAGAACTACATTCACATTCTCACCCTTAAGTTGCCTCGATCATCTCATTACATATATTTGATTCTCTAGTTCAAGGATAATCATGTAACTTCTTGATGATAACATTCAGAGATAATAGAAAAATAAATGGAAATGAGTGTGATTTCAAAAATTCCGAAAAGGTGATTTTTCATGCTAATTTTTTAATTCGCAGCTCCCCATATCAAATGTATGCAAAAGAGCAGTACTTACGTTTAGTTGAGCCAGGCTGCTCTTGTTTTTACTATTTACTCAAAAGTTTTTTTTTCTCTAAAGAAACCCACAATCATATTATAATTTGTTCATTTGAAGTTAAGTAGGGTAATAGTAGCTTTCAAACAAGCTTTAAAGTATTGGAATTACTTGTTTATTTGATTTCCTGTTGCATGAAAACAGAAATCCAAAGGCAATAAGTGTCACACACATTCTCGTGTGCAGACATGTGCCTATACCTTCACTTTTTATATTTTGTATTCTTCCTCTTCTATCAATAATACGAACGCCTTATTGTTATTTTTTGCTTTCAATCACTGAATGATAAGGGTAGAAAGCACTGGTTAGCATTTGTTTTCTTTCATTGATTCACTATGCTGTTCGCTCATTCCTTGTAAACTCAACTTAAATGTCTGTCAAACATCCCTGATGATAGCTAATTCAACAAGTGCAGTGGCTCTTGGATTGGTTCGCTCTATCTGTAAATAGAGCCTGTGACATACTACGAGCTCGTTGTATTATATATTCCTTATCACTATTTACCGAAACAGAACAGAACATCACATAACATGTGAGTTTTACATCTTCTCTCGTCAATGGCTGTGGTGATAAGAATTTTATGACTAAACATGTCGTTGTTCTTTTCATTTGTTTTGTTCGTATCATCTGTCGAAGGCTTTCTCGTTATTAATGGTATTTCTTTGACAAGAAAATGCGTGAAATTGTTCATATTCAAGTTGGTCGATGTGGTAATCAAATTGGAACTAAAGTACTTCAGTAAAAACAATTGAAACAACGCTCATACGAATTCTCTTCACTTGCTTAGTTCTGGGAAGTGATTTCAAACGAACATGGAATTGATCCAACAGGAATATATTATGGTGATTCTGATCTTCAACTAGAACGAATAAATGTCCACTTTAACGAAGCAGTTGGTGAATAGATTACACTTAATTGAATTGTAATTTCCATTAAACTGTACTGTTTAGGTGGAAAATATGTTCCGCGTGCTGTCCTGGTTGACCTTGAGTCGGGCATAATGGATTCAGTGCGAAGTAGTCAATTCGGTCAACTATTTCGACCAGATAATTTTATCTTTGGTAAGACATAGTAACTACGTTGAGGAAAAAAGCAAATATTGTGATACTTCTTACAGATCCAATCTTATATTCGAAAAAGTGAACTCAATTGTTTTATGCATGTCATGTATTTAGGACAATCCAGTGCCTCTAATAATTGGGCAAGAGGTTTCTTGACCGATGGTCCTGAAATAATAGATTCAATCATGGATGTTGTACGCAAAGAATCTGAATCGTGCGATTGTCTTCAAGGTTTTCAATTAACTCATGCACTTGGTGGTGGTACTGGTTCAGGTGTGGGTTCATTGATTATCGTCAAACTTCGGGAGGAATATGTCGAGCGCAAGTTCTGATCAATTATTTCCAATGTTAAAAACTTTTTATGTATTTTTTTAGGAATGCAAATATCATTTAGTGTTTTTCCATCACTCAAAGTATCAAAAACAGTTGTTGAACCATACAATGCAATGTTATCTTCAGAACCAATTATCGAACATGGGGATGCAGCGTACTGTATTGATAACGAAGCTTTGTATGATATTTGTTCTCGTACACTTAAAATAAAAACACCAACCTATGGTGATCTTAATCATCTGGTTTCCGCGACAATGTCTGGTGTAACTGCATGTTTACGATTTCCCGGTAAGATAATTTTTGATTATTCAAAAATAATGGTAACGACAATAAGATAAGAATTTAGAGTATAATTGAAAACAAAGGAATATATTATAATAGATGTTTTTTTTCTCAGTAATACCATTAATGCTAGATGGGTAATCGATTCTCTTGATTCTTGCATTCATAATTTATTTGAAGAATTTCTCGTTGTAATATAAGAGAATTCTTTTTTGAATAAAATTATCAGAAACCTAGAAATGAATAAGTTCGAATTCTTTCATAGTCATGAAGGTCTACTGTGTATTCGAATGTAGAGTATGGTAGGGACTCGAGGAATATGTCTGAAGACTTGATTTATTTCAGTCAAATAGAAACAGGTTTTTAATCTTCAGTGAAAAGTGATATACAGTAGTAAGACAACCACAGAGTAGTTCAACTTAGTGCTTCGAACGGTGTTTTGAACCAGTTCTATTTAGCTGTCGCTCATTTTGCTCTCTTCTCTGGCATCAATTTGAAGTTTTATGGACTTCAATAATTCTCGATATGATGCGCATCAATTCGAAAAAGAATATCGGAAGCATTTTAAAAAAGTGCTTATATTTTCTATTCTCAGTAGATAATTCTTTAAGCACAAAAGGTATGTCGTCTTAAAAAGTCTTCAGTACTTCTTGCTTCAACCATTGTAGCCTATGTATAGACAAGTCGACTCTGAATTAGAACTTATACGATTGGGTGTACATAGTCTCAAGTAGTTTCCAACCTTTGATTGTAGTTTATTGCAGTAGAGGGCAAGCAAAAATAGCCAAGATCGCATTCAATTTTCGACCTTTTGTCAACAAATCAGTGCAATTCTAATCGAATCGAGTTGAGTGTAGGTACGGTAGGATATTAAATATTCAATTTTTAATTAACTTCCATAATCCAAGGACCACACGTTTTGCAGTTTTGACAGTAAATTTGCAAAAAATTTTTGTAATTTTTTTCTCACTGAACTTCTTCCCGAGAATTCGAAAAAACCTTTCAAGTTAGTTAAAGGTTAGAAAATATTCAACGTCGAATTCGATATTTGCAGTAAACTGTTTTCTTTTCTGTTTAGATATGAGTTTTGTTGCCTATTTTCAGTTATAGTCTTTTCATGTTCTGCAACATGTGAACACGCACCCAAATAGGTTTTTTGACTTTTCGCAAGGGATCGTCCTTGTGGATATGTCATACTAGTAACTGTGTGTTAAGATTGTATTTGTGAAAGTAATGAGGATGAATGCGTTTTGGTTAGAAATGCAACAAATCTTGAGATAGATTTGGACTTGGCCTGCTATGCAATGTTTGGATTTGGTCATCATTGGCCCAAATTCCAAAGGATTTGGTAAGATATGGTGTCATTACAACAGTCTACTGTATTAGGGGTGGCATAGAATCAGAAAAAGATTTTGACATTTGGGATCAAAACCAAATTCCAACACAAACGGCTTGAGACCAAATCCTAAAATCTTGTTTTTGCTTCTAACTCATCCCTAGGACAGTGGATTGTTGTTTGTAACAGCGTATCTTACCAAATTCTTCAGACTTTGGTCCAATGATGACCAAATCCAAACCTAAACTACAAGTCCAAACTCGAATCCAAATCTAATTTCCAAATTCAAACCTAAAGGTTTCAAACTCCAAACGTTTGGGCTTGTTACATCTCCGATTTTAGTAGAGTCATACAGATTTTATAAATTATTCTAGAAGATGAAAATTTTTGTTTAATATTCTAATCAAAGCTTTCAATTTCGTTGACAGGTCAATTGAATGCTGATTTGCGTAAACTGGCAGTCAATATGGTTCCATTTCCACGTTTACATTTTTTTATGCCAGCTTTTGCTCCACTAGCATCACGTGGTTCACAGCAATATCGTGCATTGACCGTACCAGATATCACACGGCAAATGTTTGATGCGAAAAATGCTATGGTAGCCTGCGACCCTCGATATGGACGATATCTTACAGTCGCTGCTCTCTTTCGTGGTCGAGTATCAATGAGAGAAATCGATGAAAAAATGTTCGATATACAAAATAAAAATTCATCGCATTTTGTTGAATGGATTCCTAATAATGTCAAGACCGCAGTATGCAATATTCCACCACGTGGACTTCAAATGTCAGGAACAGTTATTGGTAAAGAAAATAGTAAAATTTTTGCATACGATTCCAATTGCTTTGTTATAAAATATCTTTAGCCAATACAACAGCAATTCATATGTTATTCAGACGAATTTCACAGCTATTTTCAGCTTTGTTACGCCGAAAGGCTTTCTTGCATTGGTATACCGGTGAAGGTTTGGACGAAATGGTGAGTCGATTATAAGGTTGGGTATATCAATACGATTTGTTATTTACAGGAATTAATACAAGCTGAATCAAACATGCTCGATCTGATGGCTGAGTATCAACAATATCAAGATATATCAATTGAAGGTGAGATGAAGGTTGTTTGTTCGTTTTATTCTCATTACTGTTGTTATAGAAGAAGTAGAATTCGATGATGAAGAATATGCTTAAGCAATCACAATCAACAAGAAAAAAACAGTTCATTTCTTTTATTGATATTCGCAAGTTTTCCATATGCCACAAATAACTACTGACTATTTCTATTGCTCAAGCCATACCTTTTGAAGTTGTACTGATATTCAAAATACATTTTCATTGACTTGAAACTTTTTATTTCTGTGTTTTCTCAATTATCACAGACATAGTGCAAGCGGTTGCGTATATGGATTTAGAGAAGATTCACACCCACACTCTATTCTCTTTTATTTCATAGAGAAGGCTCTTTTAGAAGATTATTCCTTACCACTTTTAGTGACATACATGAGTATGTTGAGACGTATAACAAAAATGATGGTATAAAAAGTTTTGTCTCAATTGAACTAAATCGCACCCACAATAGAAAGAATAATAGAACATGTTCCTTAATTAATTGATTCATCGAAAAACTAAAACTTTATCGGTATATTTATCTCCAAATATGCCTAGTTTTCAGGGTTTCAGCTAGCAAATCTGAAAAATGAGGTCAATGCTATTAAAGTTTTCAAAATATCACTTTCAGACTCCTCACAGCTATTGAATGTGTCCATAATCGTTGTTTGAGTACATATTTAATAAAGGAAAATGAAGAAATAACTACAAGGAAATCATGACCAACATTGTAGTGGTTTACTATAACCAAAAATAAAATCAAATAAATAAAAGAATAACATCCAGAAGGTATTTTCATCTCTTTAGAAGCCTTATCAGCATCAGTTTTTGTACAATCGGCATTGCTTTTAATGGTATCACGCGCTTTATTAAAAGTAACATCAGCTAAACGTTTCGAATCTGATGATAAATCTTCTTTCTACCAATCAAACCTGAAACAACTAAATAATAAATAAATCTTTTATGAAAAAAGAAAATCCTACATCTAGCAGAATCAGCAGCAGCATTGACGGTTTTATAAAAACTAGATGAATTATACAAAATTTTCCTTACACGAGTTTAATTTCATGAGGGTGTGGGTATTGATGTGAATGTGAGCCTCAGTGAACAGAGGATGTACCCATCTGTATCTATACAATTATTACTTCAGTCAGCTACGACGGTGAGAAATGATTGTCTATCCCTAAATGGGTCAAGTCTCTTTTCTCATTTTTGCTCATCGAGCTAAGTTAGCACTTATGAACATGAAAAGTTCGATTTATTAAAACATCTAAAACGTAATTTTCTTTTGTGAAAAGAAAATAATTTAGTTGTTGAAGAAATGTGCGAATAGACAGGGCGCAGAATTTCATGCTGTGAATCGACTTGTCGAAGTAACCGTTGAGATAGTTGTTTCTATTGACCTAGTTAGAGTCATTGCGTTGATCTCTGATAAATTAACAGGCTTCACGTAATAACATCTGAACAGTTTTGATAGTACTATTTTGTATTCATAAATTGAGAAAATTAAGATAATATATACCAATTTTGGTCAAACTATGGTCCACTCCATACGACTCATGTATTTACGACCATTCAACTTTCAGGAAATCGTCTATATTATGACATTCATCCAAAACAATTATATTTTTACTACTTCAATAAATAAAACCAACGAAATAAATCAGTACATTTTGAAGACACAAGTTACGATTGCATTGGAGCCTAAATTCACCATTAGATTTCACAAAGTGCAAAATTAATCAAAGAAAAAAAGATAATAATAAAAATTTTTTCACTCGATTATTTCCTTGACCAAGTGGACCATTTACTCTACAATACAATTAAAGAAGGATACCTTTGAGAACAATAAACTAAATATAAAATTACCTAAAATGTTCAAGCGAATCAACACCAGCTAAAATCTGATTGAGAGAATATGAACCAGTCATTTTAGTACACCAACAATGAGCAAAATTATAAAAAACAATTGTTCAGTCGAATATTTTGTCAGCATTCAAATGGTTTTAATCTAATTTTGATATGCCTATCAAAGAATATATTTATAATATTAGCAGTAATTTATAAATTACATTAAGCTAACATTCTTTTTTTTCCAAGTACATATATCATATTTTACTTTTAAATTAAAGAATCTACTTACATACAAAAAACAGCTATAAGGCCACCATGGTCAGCAATATCTTCACCTTGTGTTTGATTATCAATACCAGAGATGGGCAGCTCTGTCTCCGAAGCGATTTGATAGAATGATGGAGCTGAAGCGGAGACGGAGCAACTTTTTCTTTATAGCTCCAACCATAGCTCCACGTTTTACTTTATTCTTCTGTGAACAAAGATGGAAGAATTATCGAAAGAAAAGCTCGTCCTCGACGATTCATTGTAGTGAATATGCCATTGTTACACTTTAATCAATGATAGTAGTCGAGACAATGACTGACCGTTCATTTAACCGATTGTTTTACGGCCAGTTTGACTGCACTATTGTTTGTCTGGAAGGGTGTGAGTGTGGGTGTGGGTGTGGGGTGTGGGTGTCGATTCAATATTGAACCCACAACAAGTTCCACACCCACATCTACACCCACACCCACATCCATACCCACACCCACACACCCACACCGACACCCACACCCATATCCATACCCACAACCACACCCACACCCACCCACACCCACACCCACACCCACCCACACCCGCACCCACACCCACACCCGTATCCACAGCCACACGCACCCACACCCACACTCACACTCACACCCACCCACACGCACCCACACCCACACCCACCCCGACACCCACATCCATACCCACATCCACACGCACATCCATACCCACACCCACACCCACACCCACACCCACACCCAAACCCACACCCACCCACACCCACGTCCACACCCCACACCCACACTCACACCCACACCCACCCACCCACATCCACACCCACACACTCGCACCCACATCCACACCCACACCCACACCCATCTACATGCGCACTCACACCCACACCCAACCACACCCTGTGGACTTGGGTATTATTGGCTTCCTCGCAGCCATCCCCGCTCCAACACCCATATCGACACCCAACCACATCCACACTCACACCCACACCCTGGTTTCGTTCTTGCTTAAGGGACTCATGAGACGGCATGTTCAAATTCGTCATTATCCAACGATAACAATGAAACTGCAATCTACCCCTATGAAATAGAGGAGATACAGTGTTAAGTATGGCTGCTCAAAATGAATAAGCAGTCGTCCGATGAGTCCCTTAAGCAAGGACGAAACCGGTCACGGCTGCTTGTTCTAATATTGTAGATGGTTCATATAGGAATTTGTGCAGAATGCGCTGCTCTTTCACATGAGGCTCTTTGAAGTTATACAATCAAGTGCCTTGGCTAATCGATTGTCAAAATACCGTACTTTGAACTGAGTAAAACTGTAGCCTAGTAATCTATGTTGAAAACCATTGAATAGATTGTAAAAGGGGTTAAATTTGACATCGGAAGATTTACTGTCCAATTCTGCATAGCCCCGAAGCGCCGGTACTCTGAACTACATCCGTCTTCGATTTTCACGATTATCTCTCTTCTACTTTGCGCCATCAGTGTTCAAAATCTAAATTTTATGAAGCTGATCGTCATCATATTGATCAGCCTTCCAGAAACTCATCATTCAGTCATCATTTAGACGAACAGAAAACTTGTTTTTTTTTGGTGTTTTAACGATGCAAAATCAAGCTTTCCTTGTTTTTTTATGTCTTTTGAAAAAAATTGTGAAAAAAATGAATGATAAGTATGATTAGTTGCTAAGATGTGTTATTCAAAATGTCTAACTATTGGATTAATATGAGTAAATATTAAAAGAAGGAGAAAAAAATCAATGGTTAGTAAGTGCGAAG